TACAATGCGTGCGTCGCCACGGCCTGCAAGCGAAGGGCCGCGTCGCCCACGGTCGTTGCAAGCATGGCGCGCCCCAAGCCGCGCCCCGCGAGCGCGTCTCCAACTCGGGGGCGTAGCCAAGAACGCCACGCAGGGCATGCGATATGATGCTCAACCGCGTCTTCCGCCGCATCGCAACATTTAAATGCACGTCCGCGCTGAGCGCGCCGAAGATGCCGCACTCTGCGGTCCGTCGTCCATCTGTTGAACATTGCGCCGAGGGTGGCCGCCCGGATCGCGGCGGCGCCAGCCTGCGCAGGCGGCCGAGCTGAGTAGCCACGCGCCTTGCTGTCTGTCCTGAGTAGCCCGGTAGCCTCCAACGCTGCAGCCGGCGCCGCAGGCGCCATTCCAGACAGAAGCCGTCTCTGTATTGCAGACGGCCAACAAACCACCGCTGCGTGCGCTTTTTCAGTAAGACATGCCGCTGTCGCGTCAGCGGGCCAACGCTGGCCTTACAAATGTCAAGTCTCGCTGCCCGGAAACCAACGCCTCGGACCGTCGCGCGTCCACTGTGGCCAGCACCGTCGAAGGGGCGTGCTTTCCGATCCGCTGGTGCCGCCGGGCGGCGCGGATCAAGCATTCGGCGTTGTATCTCCTAGAACCCAATAACAACTTCATGCTCGCCTGAATCGATGCCCGCGTCGCTCCGCCCCCCCCGTGCGTGCGCGGGTAACATGGCGGCCTGGCATGAAATCTCCAAAGGACGGAATTGCGCCGCCAAGCCGATATCGTGCCCATGATGGAGGTCACGCGGACAGCACCATGCGCCAGGTCCGTGGGCCACGCGTCGAAACGCCACGCGTTCCATAGCGATTGCGCGCCATGGCGGTACCTCAAGCTGCGCCAAGAAAAAGAGAGATGGCAGGACGTACGCGTTATATGCCACTATTGCCATGTTGAGCCCAAGTTCGCTCCAGTTCCAATCTTGCAAACGCGCCTCGTACTTGCGCAAAGGCTTGCCCCGAGATTTTGCCCCCTTGCCTGGGCCAACGTAGGAGCCCAAATATTTCCCGGTGGTGCCCCAATAAACAGGAAGTGCACCCGTGCCCGTCGTCGCAGCATCGCGCAGCGTGCCAATATTTGTTTCCCAAAGAGGTATGACCACTGTCTTGGCCAGGTTTAAGGTCAGGTTAGACACTCGCCCGAATAACTTGACAGTGTCGAACACCTTCTAGTGATCTTTCCTCCATGATCGCAGCGCCATGGCAGCGTCGTCTGCGAAGGCCCGCGCGGTGGCCGCCGGGCGCCAGATCTCCATGATTCGCAGCAGGCTGTCCGACGCCAGCGCGAAAAGAATAGGAGAAAGTGAGCACTTTTGGCGGACCGGCCTCCAGCGGCACCTGGCCGTAGAGCGTCCCATGCAACAACAGCGCGCCGACCGCCAAATGGTAAAACGAAGACAAGACCGTCATTGCCGTGCCCGCGAAGCCAGAAGCCCGGGCCATGCTGAGAAGGTATTTTCTGGAAACCGAAGAGCACGATCGCCGCGCCCTCGTCCTCCAGCGCCGCCATAGTGGCGGCGTGCTCAATGTCGACCACATGTGACAACATAGAACGGCCTTGAATGAAACCTCTCTGTTTCAGCGTAATGCCAGGGGCAACCAGAGGTTCCCATCGCAGCCGGCAAGCGTTCGCAAGAAGCCAGTTGCTTGTGTTCGTGATCGATAATGGCCGAGTGCCACTGGGGCAATAAATCTGCTCCTCGCTTGAATCAGTCCGACCGGGCTGCTTTGGCAGGCAGCACAACAACGATTCATGTAACTCGTGGTATATCTCGTCGACGGCCATAAGTCCTGATTCCAGGAGTCTCCCAGCCTCCCAGAACGTGGATCCCCAGCGGGCCCATCGCTCGCCAGGCTTGAAAAGGAATGCCGTCGGGGCCGGGGCGCGAGTTGCTGCAATGCGAAGCGCTCTCTGGATATCCCTGGAATGTAGTCGCCATCGCTCCGCTGGGGCGGAAATCATCTGACAGCCTGCGTGTTCTGCAACCGCAATGCACGTGATAAGCTTCACGTCGTCCACTGGTCTGTGTCGGAATACCCTGGACCAGCGGGTCGCCTATCCGAGAGAGGCGCGCCAACCGCTGGTCAATAGAATTCTGTCTGACCTGTTTGTGGTGGTCGTCGGAATCCTCTCCTGGCACGTTCTGGTGTGCCCGCATGTCGCTCAACAGCTCATATTGGTGAGGTCGACGGCTTTGTTTTTGAGTTTGCGCAGCGCCGAGTCCAAAGAGCAGCCCGGCGGGGCGATCGACGCCACCCATGGTTCTGGCAGCTGGGGCCTCAACGTCGCTAAGGAAGACACGCAACCACTGCGGATATTTGCAATGATCGTAAATGCTGTCGCTGCGCCATAATCACTTTCCGCCATGTTCATCGCCACGGCGTGCATAGCATTCTTGAGTATCCGCAACCTGTGAAGAGCATCGGGGTCCTGGTTATTCCTGGCGGCCTGCTTCAGATCGTCGTGGTATGCCCGCGAAGCCCTCTTTGCAAAATCTGGGTGGCAAACGGCTGAACTGCGCAATGACGTCGAACGACCATCCTGAGCAGAAAGGTGATGGCCAAATGAAACGGGTCGGTGATCTGAAATTGGCACTCCCGCGCGGTCAGCATGAGGCCACGGCCATGCTCCCACCCAAAATGAACCATCGAACTAATCTGCCGTGTGGTGACTCGTGCAGATCCGGTCCAACCGTGATTGCACGAAGTCGGAGCGAAATGTATATTGCGATTGGGCCAATAATCGGTCAGATTATGCCACCTGTTGTGTCCAATGGGTTTCTTCCATAGCATCCCGTTGACCAGAGTACTGCATAGTTTGAGTCCCAATTCTGTCGCACGCTTTCGTGACCCAATTGAAATCCCCCATGACAAGCCAAAGCGAATCGGAATAAGCGGCCATGGTGCGCGCGAAACGTAGTCGAAGTGAGCGGCGAGCTCCAGCAGCATCTTGTCCTGAAGGGAAATACCCAACAGCGATGGAGAGAGAGCCTTGCGGACCGTGTAAATGTAGTGCCGTCAGCCGCCCAGGCTCCCCGTAGTTTGCAAAGAGTGTGGTCTGCACCCCCCCCAGCCTGGGCCCAAGGCGCGGCCCAGGCGCGGGGGGGGGCGGGCGAGCACTTCGACAGAGACCTTTGCCGCGCCCAAGCGAGGGAACATCAGACAGTTGGCACAATGCTGCGACCCCTAAGCCCCAACGGCGCTGATCGCAAACAACAGCTCGGCGTAATCACACCAACTGTAGTCGGCAAATGGTGACACTGCCCTGCCGCAGGGATCGTGTCCTGGGGGAGCGGGAGAGAGCACCAGTGGCCGTGTCACTGGGTCGTGGCCCCGTGAGGGCTCAAATGATAAGAAGGGGGCGGCATCTACAACTGGTAAGCCCGAGCTGAGGGTGGTACCACGGCCCTGCCGTGGGGATCGTGACCGGGGGGGCCGAACCCCTACGACCCTGTCACAGGACGTGGCCCCATGAGGGCTCAAAAGATGGGGGGCATCTAGAACTCGTGGGTGATCACACAAATATTCGAATGGCCCAGCCGCAACAAGAACCATGTGCTTGAGCGGGGGCTGCCCTCCGTCTGTGCACACACAGTCTGTGCACACGCTGGGGACTTGTACGATGTTGTCCGCGGCGGACAGACGACGTCGGGAATTAGGGGAGCAGCCGCCTTTGACGTAACCGAGCATGCGCCAAAGACACAACATGGTAGAGTGCGTGTCGGATGTCCCCCCTGCAGCCGTAGGAAAGCACTCGTACCTTGTGTGCAGCGCCGCGCCAGAGCGAAAGCGCGAACTGCAAAGTTGGCAAGTGCCCCCATACGCACATGGCGTGGACTGGAAGTTTAGAAAGATGAATCGCGAGGGACTTCCAGCCATAACACCTGGACGGCCGTGCCGAAGCGCCTGACGGTGCAGCAATCAAGAACTACCACTCCGACGCTGTCCAAAACCGACAGCGGCCGCTTTGGGGCAGGCGGCCTTCTGTCTCAAATGGACAACGTCCGCGGCGACGCCGAGAGCGAGTCCTGTTCAAAAAAGACAAGAACTGCTGTCAATGTTAGTGGCCGTTCTTTCCGTACCCGTTTCGATCGTCCCGGTCCGAAGGAGCGGTGCGTGAGGACGAGGGGCGGGAAAGATAAGCAGGGGCACGGGGTGGTGGAAGGTGCATCCCTGCGCGCTCCTCCCCTGGGGCGGCAAAGGCCTCCTGGCCCAGAACCATCCGCCCTCTCCCCCCCCCCCTGCCGCTTCGATCCTCTGCCTATGAAAAGGCCCAACGACTCACAAGTACATACGCACAAATCTCACTATTCTGCATATTTTCTCAGGTGTTCTTCATTTCCGTCGTCCCACCCAATTCCCATAGTTGCCTATTTTTCGAGGGGGTCAACGAATAGTTGTCTCTATATGGTTTGCCCCTGAACCTATTTGGGGAGCGAATCGGGGGGGGGGCGCGGGGGCCGACAGCGGCGAAAGCCGACGACGAACAAACACAACGGCAGCGGCTGACGTAGGTATAAGATGGCGGCAAAGACGTGAATGACACCTGCGTAGTGCATACATGCGTAGTGACACACAAACGCACATCTACACATATACCAATCGATGTACATATGTGTATGTATATGTCTGTATATACACACACATCTGTATACAAAAAGCAAACTGTCAAGCTGGGCGACACGTGCCGAGGAAGACCCGCCGTTTGCAGGCGAACGTTGCCCCATTCGTCTCAACGCTTCCTCGGAAGAGAACGAGAAAGTGCACAGCGAACGGCAGAAACCCTGCTAAAAACTCATCCCCTCGTGCTGGGCCACCTGTCCCACCGCAAGGGGAGCTCCGTGCCAGGAGAGCACCCTGCCGCTCGACCATCTCGCTCGTCCGCCTCCTCGATCCGATCCCCATCCCCGCCCCCGAAGACCGTCGAGGCTGGGTGTCGTTACAAGCCGCTCGGGAAGCGGTCCTCGCGCTCCCTCCCGCGCTGCTCGCGCGACTCCCGCGGCCGCTCCTTCGAGGCTTGGCGAGGGCAGACGGGGAGGGAGGGAGGGAGAGAGAAAGAGAAAGAGAGAGAGAGAGAGAACGAGAGAGAGAGAGAGAGAGCGACAGAGGGAGATAGAACGCAATCTGCGCAAGAATTGTCACTTGTGGTGCTGACTTGGGAAAAAGGGGGCGTGGCCACTCTTCACGGGTAGAACCTGACCGCGCCTGGGAAGCTCACCTTCCCGAGCCATAGACGGTGCGAGTGGCAAGGGCCTGCCAGGGGTATCGCGCGTGAGCCAAAAAGGAGTGGCCGCTCGCAGAAGGGTTGGGTGCAAAGTATATCAACAGCCGCTTCAGGTGCTCCAGGGTCGTGCGCCGAACCCTTGCTCTCGCGTGCTGACTGCGAGCGATGCCTTGAGAGGTCACCAACATGCAGGATGTCACTTGTTTATCAATCGTGCATGAAACATGCAAGCGGCGGAACATACCCACTGTGTCCCGCGCAAGGTGCTAGCTACAGTCCTGGTAAATGGCATGGCCGCAGCCTGGCCGCAACTGGCTCGCAACTGGATCGCAACTCCACTGCTCCCCCTTCCCTCTCTCCGCCCTCTTCCTTTCTACTCCGGGTCTTCCTCCCTCCCTCCCTGCTCTTGCATATCCCTCCGCCTGGGCGGGTGGGTGGCGGGAGTTGCCCTCCCCTTCTCGGGCGAAACATCCGCGCAAGACATCCCTGCCCGTGCTGCTCAAAAGAACTGCTAAAAGACGACGCAAACTGGTCGCACGGGACTGCCTGATGACCATTATCGTGCCTGGCATGCTGACAAGACGCAAAAGCTTGAAGCCAAGGGGGTAGCACAGATGGGGTGACTCGAGTAGGCGCATTGAGACTTACAGTAGCACTGCATGGATGCAGCCCTTTGCGGTCTGAACACAATAGTTCTGTGTGGGTGCAGTGGTGCACTCTCGAACGCAATGGTTCACGTCCCTTGTAATAGTTCGTGCCCCCCAGCAACAGTTCGCGTAAGAGTTCGCGCAAGCGAACCACGGCACCTCCCACCCCACCCCGTATGGGCGTTGGCTACCATCGCTCTAATATAAAAGCGCGAGACGTATACAGCCAGAAGGAGCACAGAGGGCGAACAGAAGGACGCTAAGACTTACAGGTCGTCCCATTTCCCCCGTAGTGAGATAAACGACCCCTATCCCCCCATGGGCGTGGGTGGCCTATGCCCCACTGGCCGATGTACGCCCCCAGATGGGGATATAGGATCCCTCCAAGCTTCTAAGGGTATCTCCCAACTGGGATGGTCAAATTGGCGGGGGTCTGGATAGGGACGGGGATGGGGAGAGGGATCGGTTAAACGATGCTGACCTAATGCGTTTGGCACGAAGTGGAGTGCCCCGAAGCTCCCCGCTGTACTGCTGCTACAGCCAGGACTGCAATGTCCTCGGGAGCCGCCCCGCGGGCCGCGGGTTTTTTTGGGGTGACCCCCTCTGAGTTCTGGCGTGTTTCCTGCCGGTCCTCAGGGCGCTGTCCCCGCTCAAGACGACCTCTCGAACCCTCCGATGAGTCCAAGAGGGGTCCGATTCGCCGAAAGATCGCTCCGATACGCCCATGCTGGCCTCCAGACGGCCCACGAGGCCTCCAAGAGCAATACCAAAACGGTCTCAAGAGACACACGTCAACGATTTCCCGCTTAAAGAAACAGTTTGGGCATTCCCGCCTTTTCGCACCGCTGCGAACACGAACGCTTGTGCGCGTTTTTTTCCTTCATTTTTTGTTCATTATTATTATTATTAGTATATATATATATAATAATAATAAAAAAAACACATTAAAGCTTGCAGATCTCAGCGTTGCGAAGGAGAATGGACGAGTGGGGAGGCGGGGATAACCACTGATAGCCATTCTTCAACACGTCGTGCCTACAGAAAACCGAAATGGGTTTCGCAATGAGTTCGGAGACGCTGACACACTGCATAACGATTGAAGTCGCCCAACCACGCCCGTCGTGGCCTGGCAACCGAAGATGCAGCCTTCGGGGGCACAATGAGACCGACGCGACGCACGTTTCACGGCGCGACATCCGAATAATCGAAAGCCTGAGGTAGGCATGGGCTTTTTCGCGACGCACCGCATCCCGTGGACCAGAAGAGACACGACACGGGGGGCGATCCCAGGGCGCCGGGCTCGAAGGCGAACCAGGAGATCAGCTCCAGGGCAATCCCGGAGCGAGACGGGCAGGGATAAGCGACACTAGCAATAGAAGACTCGCCGAATTTTCTTGCTGCTAATCTCCTGCGCCAGGGACTGATGAATAGAAGCAGTAGTTGCCGTCTGCTTGGTCGACTTCCATCAACTTCCCTGCCAACGACCCTTCGTCTCCCCGACGATGATCACCTCGCCCCCTTCCCGCGCCATCGCCAGGTGCCCAAGCGTCGGGCGCCGACCCTTGCGCTCGGTATGTAAACGGAGTTGGCCGGCGCAACCGACGCTTTGCAGGCGCGGAAGTCGATGCCCATGCCAAGAAGGCGACGACCATTGAGCACGCGCGCGGAGAAACTACGCCGGCCGCGGCGCCGAGTTCAGCCGCTGCATCGCGCGCTCGTGCCTGGCCGCGAGGGCAGCGGAGGGGGAATGGCACTGCGAGGTGAACTGCAGCTTGGAGAGACGGAGGCACTGGTGCGACGAGGCAGGGGGCGGCAGTCGGGCCCCCCGCTGTCGCATCGCATGGGGTCGACCAACGCAGGGCGGCATAACTTCATCCCGAGCATGCGTCGCGGCATTGGGGCCACTGGGGGTTCCGAGGTACTCGCGCTGCTGCGCGGCACGCGCGAGCGAGAAGGGGGCGCCGAGGTGCTCGCGCGCATTCCGGAGCCGCGCCACCCTCGCATCATCCGCGAGGAGGACGACGCCATTCAAAAAGTTGAGCTCAAGCCCAGCAGTTGTCTCGAACAGTTCGATCAGACGATCCAGCCGGGGGGAATCAGCAAGGACATTCCTGAGCGGGGGGCCAGCCGTCAGCGCGAACCAACTGCATCTTGCGCGCGTGCCCACTGCTACGCAAGACCAACCACATCGCGGCGGGATCCGCGACCATCGAGAAGAGCGCCCAGGAAGCCTGGCCCCCCTGCCACGCCCCGCGCAAAATGAATGCCCGAGCAAGCCGCCCGCCCCCAAGGGCGACCCCAACATTGCTGCCGCGACGCGGCCGGCCGAAGAAGGAGACAAATTCACGGGGGAAGCTGAGGCGAGATAGGGCCGCGATCATCCTGCGCGCGAACATCGACGGAAAAGGCAACGTAGAAATCCGCGAGGAACTCAGCTGCGCGCTTTTGCCCGGGCCCCCGCGCCCCAAGTCCCCGGGCTCGCGCCTCCGGCGCGTTCGCGAACGCGCCCCGTCCGTTGCCCCCCCCCCCCCCCTTCTGGCGGCCGCGCGCGGCGGCCGCGGCGTCTTCGTCAATGGGCAGAGAAAACGCGAGCGACAACGACTCGCGGCTCGCGTCCGAGAGGGCCAGCGGCCAGGTGCACTCCGCCACGCGAGAACGACCAGCAGCGGCATCGCTCGGGCGCGAGCCCTTCGGGGGAAGGACCAGGGGCATCTCGCGCGTGCTTGACGGCGCGCCCACGCGAAACCAGGTCATAAACGCGCCCGTATACATAGTGAAAGATGTCGAGACCCACGCGAGAGGCCCAGCGGGAGTAGGGGGGGCTCCGCCAGGGCCAGGCGCAGTGCCACAACGCGCAAACATCACAATGTGAAAGGTAGGCGCGTTAAAAACCACGCCAGGGCAATCCCGAGATTCTTGAACTGCGGAACGAGCCCCAGAATCTCACCCCGGAGTTGGCGATCAGGCGGAACAGATTTGCAGACCTCGGATCAGTGAGCAGCCGAGACCTTCCCAGACCCCCCAGAGGAACCACATGGGGGGGCGCCAGAATCCAGAGAGCCTGGGGGATAAGACGCGGCGCCTTCTGACGACGGCGGCGGGCAATCCGGCCCTGCACCTGGGCCTCTGCCTCTGTCTCCATGTCCTGAACAACGCAGGTTTCCAGTCCCCGCAGCTCGTCATCATTGGCAGCTTCAAGCAGCGCGCGGGCGCGCCCCCGCCACTGCGGCAGGTCGTTGCAAGGTTCGGACTCGACATGGAACCCGGGGCAAGCGCAGCATGACTGCGGATGGCGGCGATGCACATGCGGCACTCGCTAGATCACCTGTTGTGCGCGCTCGGCAATGTTTGGTGAGCGCGTGGGCGGGCTTCACTGGCCCGTGAGAGATGCGCCCTGCAGCAGCATACCCCTCCATGACACCCCACCCCGTAAACATCTCAGAATGATGACAAGTAATGAAACGATGGTGCCCTGGCGGGTGGAGAATAACTTTCGGGATGAAAAGCGAGCCCCCCCACGGCAGGGACCAGCGAAACAAAACCACCTGCGGGTGGCGATCAGAAGGCGGGCCACCTCCCAAGTAGCCCCAGACCTTAGAGTGGATGGCAGAATCCTGCAGCAACGCACTGGGTACGTCTGGGCAAAGCCTGTCGAGCCACGACGAGTGTCTGACGAGCCTGATTCCGTCCTTGCCGAGTGGGCTCTTCCAGCACAAATCTAACCATCGCACAACTGGTTAAAAGCATCGCGGTTCACTCGGTCGCCGCTGTGCCAGGTGCGCCCATCGCCCCCTGTCCTTCACTGCAAAGTCCAATCCCAGCCAACATGCTTGAACGAAACTGTCGCTGCCGGCAAGGCGTCAAGGATGTCGGACAAAATGCAGCGATACCGCGGCATACCATCACTCGCGTTGGGCATGTGACAATTGTCGATGCACCATCCCGCGCGAGCCAGGTGTAGCGGGAGAAAGATACGATCATGATCAATGGAGGCGTGAGCACTGGCATCAGAAAGGGAACAAAACTGCTCATGAAGGACAGCATGAAAGAATACCCAACGCTGCTCCCTCGAAAATGACACTTAATATCACGAGCATCCCCCGAATGCCCATGGGTCTCCTGGGCACACACACGCACGATACCAACGTTCAGCGGAAGACAGGAGCTGTGATTACCGACGCGATGATCGATTCCCGCCACCTCCCACAGCGGCGAAGAGACCTTCAGTGTTCCATCTTGTGCGAGATACGGTAGAGTTCGATAAAACACGGAAGAGGAGCAGCCGAAACCGACGAACTTCAAGAGGAGGAGGAGGAGGACGAGAGTGCGGAGGTCGAACTGCTGGAACTAGGCGACAAATTCGAATTACTACTACTATGTTGCGTGCTGTCACGGCCACTTTGGGATTCTTCGAAAGTGACGGCGGGCATCGATTGCCACCGCCTGGATTCAAGGATCGGCGTGGGCACCAAGACCGAGCTCAGGCAGTGCTGCCTCCTCTAGATCAACATGGATGTCGTCGCATACGTCGCTGGCGATAGGGTGGGCGACACGTGCGGGGTCCTCCGCGGATCTGAGCACGTACATGTCATCGCCGAGACCAATGGAACCGACCTGGCACTGGGTACTCTGGAGCAACGTTCCGGCCCTGTTGCGAAGCCTACCCCTTGCAAAAACGAAACTCCTAATTCTCGAACTGAAAGCGCGCCGGAGCTTGAGCTGAAGCGGTTGTCCACCTCTCGAGTCGACGAACGTCGAGCCCTGGTCAAAAGTAAACCTGGAATTTGTTGCCGTGAGCGCATCGCCGAAATCAAAGATCGTTTTTCGATTCATGCCGGACGCGTCGACAACACATTTGGTAAGTATGGCGGGCAAACGGCATAGCCTGCTGTCGGACCTGTGCAGCAGCGCGTCTCAAAGTGGATGCCATCATGGGACTCGGGAAGCCTGCCAGCACGAGCCTGCAAACACAATCCTGTTGACTGCCACCGCGAGATGACGGTGTCCATGCCGATTATCCAGCAGTAGATCAAGAAAGATAACCCAAATCTAGGAAGCCGACGACCCGAACCCGGTGGAGAACCGCCAACTGCATTGGGAGCATGACCCGAGAGCTTCATGATGGATTCCTCCGATGTTGGCGACCGTACCTACCCTCGAACTTCAACAAGCGGTTGGCCCGTTCCGACAAGCCAGAAACACCTTTCATCCAAGACGTCCATGCGCGCAGCAGCAGCCGCGTTGACGTCGTCACGCAAATACGTCAAGCCGACACTCATCTCCTTTCCCAAGGACGTCATGTGGGCCTCGATGTTGCCGATCCCCGTGATGAGAGACAATGCCCACGGCGGCGTGCCATCAACACCCATGGTGGCTGATGTGATGCGAACGGAATCTAATGCGGAAGATGCCGAGCAGCAATAGCGGGGGGACCGTGTCCCTGCAAGCAGTTCGAACCAAATGATGTGGAACCGCAAAGACTAATCAGGTTACCTCGCCGTTTCGTAGCTTCCCCCCGTTTCATCATGATGATGATGGTCATGGTGGCGAGAATGACGGTGATGGTGGTGGTGATGCTGTTGTTTTATGATGCTTGGTGACGATGCTGCTGATGATGATGATGATGATGAGAATGATGATGTTGGCAATGATGCTGATGATGTTGGTGATGATGCTGCTGATGATGATGGTGATGATGACGAAGGGAAGGACGAGGAGGGAAAACACGACTTTCACTGTCAGCCGAGGGCTTCAGGTGGGGAGGTCCCGGCTAGCATTAAAGACCCGCGTGGGTTACGCAGTGGTGCCGGACGAAGGATGCACGGGGGGCCTTCACGACACGCAACCACTCCAAAGACAGGCATCGACTGCGACAGGGCGTCCACCGAGGCGAGTGGAAGGGCAGACTCTCGCTCCGGCCTCCCCAAACAATTAGGTCGGGCATGTCCCCTACTGGCGGATTTGGGACGAAAAACAACCAATCTCAAAAAATGCTTAAACCTATTCAAAATATAATCGAAAAATCGTCCCCGTACTATTTGTGGAATGTTCCTCCTGTCGAGGGATTCGCCCGACTGAACTTTCGCTCCGCCCCCCCAGGAGAGGGCCCCCGCCCGCTCCTCGCGGGCGGCCCTCCGGCGACTCCTCGACCTTCCCAGGCCCTGCCGGCGGCGGGGGGGCCGGAAGCGGACGCGCTCGCCTCCTCCGCCCTCCAGCCCCCGCCCTCCACCCCTCCAGCCCCCCAGAGCCCCCTGCGGCAGCGAACAAATCATGACGGGAGGTTTTTGTTGCTATATACTGCCTCAGGGGACCCTTACGGCCTTACGGGCCCTCGAGACCGTAAAAAAAAACGGCTCGGGATGAAAAACCGGTCCAGGGGACTGGGTGGAGACCTCCAAGGGTCGACGCAATGAAGAAATGATGACGTCGGGGGTCTGGGTCCCCCTCTCCTCCTCCTGTCGCCTCCTCCCTCCTCCTGCCCAATCCCTGCTTGTCCTCCATCCAGCCCACACGACAGAAGAGCAAGCACCACGCGCTCTCTCTCGGAGCCCTTCTTTTCTCACTCCATCCAGCGATGAATTTAGGAGATCCGCGCGGATATAGGTGGTCTGCGCTGCACCCCCCTCCCAGGCGCGCGGAGCGCGCCAGAGGCGGCACTGGAGGCGCCCCCAGTGGAGTCCAGCGCCGATCCAAGAAATCCGCGCGGAGCTCCGAAAATTGATAGCTTTGCAATGTTTTTCTCCCCCATCCATCCCCCCCTCTCCTCCTCCTGCCCCCCCAGCCATCCACCTCCTCTCCTCCTCCTGCCTGCTCCTCATGCCCCCCTCTCGTCCTCCTGCCATTTGTTGCTCCCTTCATCCAGCCCTACAGGAAGCGCTGCCTTCGCTCCGCCGAGCCGACGAGCCGCCGCGCCAAGCGGCAACGCCGCGACGACGACGACGACGACGACGATTACGACTACGACTACGACCACAATGCGACGACTATTACGACTACGACTACGACTACAACCACGACTATGTACGATTACGACAACAACCACGACTGCGACTACAACTACACTCGCCACTACAATCACGATTACAACCAAGACAAAAATCATGACTGCAACCGCAACCACTGATTCCCAGTGCTATCCAAATGAGAAGATGCTCACAAATCCTCTCGCGCGCAGGGTCATCCCTGGAGGAAAGAGCCCCCCCAATATTATCTAGCCCACCCAAAATAAAGAGAACATGATTTCCGCCGCGACGATGACGATGACGATGACGATGACGACGACGACGACGACGACGACGACGACGACGACGACGACGACGACTACGAATTTGATAACGACCACGAGGAGAAGCAGGAGGACGAGAGGGAGGAGCAGCAGGAGAAGGAGGGGGAGGAGGAAGAGCAGGCGGAAGGGGGAGGGTCGAGTTTGTTCCCCGTCGATAGAAACAGGGGGATGATCAAAACTAAAGACCCTTCGAACTTACCGATATCGCTACTCCCCGGACCTCTCACGGGTTGCGTTCACACATTCTCCCCAGAATTTCGAGGAGAATCCAGCCGTGGCGACGACGGCCTCCAAGGAGGCCCGAAACGACGAAAACGAGGCAAGGTTAGCGGTATCGTAATCTTGTCTTACTCTGAGACTCAATCTGAACCTAGAGGACGCCCAAATAGGGTCCGAATACGCAGATGAGATCGGAGGATCGAGCCGCGACGTCGGCGTGGAGAAAATCGGGCTCCGCATCGAGCCGCATCGTCGATGAAGCTCGATCCTTCGACCCCATCTGCTCCAGCCCCATCTGGGTGGCCTGGAGAACCCTCGCCCCCCATCAGGCCCACAGCCCCCCACGGGGCGGACGTGCCCCGCCCTCGCAGATCACGCACAGCCCGCCCTGCACGAACAGGACCGTCCGCCACGGAGGCCGTGTGGCCCCGCCTCCCGCTGCTACCGACCCTGGCTATGCATGCTCGCCCGCTCGTTCGCTCGCTCCACCGCCTACCCCCAAAGCAAAAGCGCGCAGGACGCTACTACCGCCTCGCGATCGGCGACTTCGGGGGCCCCCAGTTGGCCCGCACCGAAGGTCGCTCCAGAGAAGGGTCACTCTCACGTGCAGTCGTGGGGCCCCCAGGAATATACACCACCACCACGTCGACTCCTCCTCCCTCCTCTATCCTCCTCTTCCTCTCCTCTTCCCTGGAGAGGGAGGGGGTGAGGGAGGTGATGGTGGTGTATATCAATCTATTTGTGGGGGGCCCCCCCCGCCCACCCCACACCGCCGCCGCGGCCGAGGCGTGGTCCTGGCGGGGATGCCTGCTGCCCGACCTCCGCGGCGAGCGGCGGCGCCTCGCGCCGCGTCGCGCGCCGAGACCGCCGAGCGCGCGCGCTCCGCACTCCCCATGGGGGGTGCTGGAGCAGGGACCGACCGTCCCGGCATGCCTATAGGCCTACCACGACACGTTCTTGGAGCCCCAGACACGCTTGAACAGCAAAAAACAGTGCTCTCAGAACACGACCCCGATGTATTGAAACAAGCCGGTATCAGTCAAACATGTGTTCTAAGAACACGTCGTGCAAACCACAAAAGGTTTTTAGAACATTGTTTGGTGGGTCGATTGGCGAGCCAGGACGCTTCGCCACTGCTTGAGGTCCGAGCCCCACGCGGCGCGACGGCACGGACGGCCCTCCCTCCCTGACATTCCAGGAGGGCCTAAAAAGTGGCACCAGAACCTTGATGTCTAACTTCCTGTCGAGATGTTAGGCAGTCCAGATACGTCTATGGGTCTGGAGTGCTAGTTTCTGGCACTCTGGAAGGTCAGGGCCAAACGAGGGCAACATGGGGCTCGAACAGACAGCCCCCGCTCCGCCCACCCCCAAGCCCTGAGATCTTGGCGTCTCAATACCTTCGACGGGCTGGGCGTTTCCACCCAGATTTTCGACCGAGGAACCTCATGCATCGATCCGGCTCGAAAAATGGAGCAGAACGATGAGCTCTAGGGCTCCGATCGTGATTTGTCGCGATGCTGCAATTGTTGTGCAAAGGCGTATCTCAGGCCCCCCCCAACGACTCCCAGGGCACCACCTGGCACGAGGACACGGACAGCTGGCCGCGGTCTCCAACCCGGAGCAGATCGCTCGATATGAGCGTGGACCCCAGGCAGAGCTCGGCGGGATCCTGCATCCTGACAGGCAGGGGACAGTGCCAGGAAGGCGTGCTGGATTGCATGGGGCAGTGGCGGGAACTGGCGTCGGCAACAGCCGGGGCTGGTGAGGGTGGGCGCGGGGTCAGCGGCGGCAGCAAGCCCGGGCGGCAACCTGGGCTAAGGCCAGCGGGGATCAATATGTTAACTTGTTGTGGGGGCTCGGCTGTGTAGTTTAGGTCTCGGTATCCGAGCAGATCGGCATTGCAACCACACAACTTACACGATCGCAAGTCTCTTGGGAGGTCAACGACATGGTAGCCGATAGATGGTTCCTCATCGCCCGCTTTCACATTAAACCATCACTCATAACCACTCAGTTTCTCAGAAGTGGCATGTTGAGGCATGCTAGAATGCCAAGTGCTGTCTGGTAGGGTTTCTGTAATATTCTAAGGCCCCCCCCCCTCCAGGTCGCACCTCGTCGCGCGCACTGGCCGTACTCCCCAGGAGTCCTTAGGCGGCCATGGCGCCTCCCTGGGGGTCTCCAAGGCTTCCATGACGGCCCAGGAGGCCCCCAAGACGGTCCAAGAGGGTCCCGAATTGCCGAACGATCGCTCGAAGACGCCCAAGATGGCCTGAAGATGGCGCAAGAGACTCTCAAGGCGCGCCAAGAGGCCCACATGAGGGCCCCCACAGGCACAATGTATGGATGTGCCTTGCGTTTTTGAAGGATTTGGGCGTTCTCGCCTTTTCGGCTTCCCAACGCTCCAAGACGGCCCACGAGGCCCCCAAGATCACCCAAAAACGGCCCAAGAGGCCTCCAAGAGGGCCCCAAGACGGCCCAAGAGGCGCCCAAGACGGCCCCCAAAAGAGCACCAGCGACGGAGCACGAACCGAACATCCGAGCCTTCCGCCCCAAGGGGCCCCCTGGAGGCCCCAAGAGGCGCCCAAGAGGCCCCCAAGGTGCCCCAAGAGGCCTCGCAGAGGCAGGCCCCCAAGAGGCCCCCAAACAGGCCTCAAAACAGCCTCCAAGAGGGCCCTGGGAGGCCTCCCACGAGATTGCAACGAACATGCACTAGGCTTGTAACCCACAGCCCAGGCAAAGTGGCGGGACTTGCCGTAGGCAGCTGGATACCAAGAACAGCATGGGCAGAAGCAATAGCAATAAGAAGACAATAGACACAGGGCATCACGAGGGGAGTATCTGGGAGCACACAGCTGTCACACAAGTGGCTGCGGGATCATGAGTTGCGGGAGTCTGGCCGACATGTTCATCCTCAGCGCTGAGCGGTCGCAGACATGGCTGAAAGAAGACTGCCTCAAGGCAGTAGGGAATCAGGCAGCCGTCGTGGGCAGTCACTATTTCATCGTTGCGTTCGGAATGGGCACATGTGCGACATAGCGGAACGAAACAACTGCGACGACAAGAAACACCAAACTTGCCCATCCAACCGAGACCTCGGGCGGATTCGGGGTTCAACTGCCAACCCCCCTCCTGGGATGCGTTCCGGCCAGACTGTCGAGGCGGACCCAGCCGTTGCGACGGGAATGCCCAGAGAAGGCCAAGAATGTCCCGAAGCCTCCGACTTCGATGCTGGAAGGTCTCCAAGTCGACCGGCGAGGAGAGGGCGAGAGGGAAGGTGGGGGAGGGCGGCGGCGGCAGTCCTTTTCGTCCTCCTCCCCCCCCTCCCCCTCCTCCCCCTCCTGCCCCATCATCCTCGTCCCCCGCCTGGCTCGAGCGCTTGCTAAACTAAGGGCCAACAGCAAAAGCATGAGAGACAGGCGGAGTCAATATTGCACCCCCCAACATGCACGTGCCACAGAAGGGAGGAGAGGGACTAAGACACAACAAAGCCCTCCGCGGCCTGCGGCAGGCCATGTCCCCCCTCTGCTCCTGAACCTTTTCCTCCTCCTCCTCCTCCTCCACCCATGGGGAAACCAATAGGCACCAATACGGCTACTCCCTGGACCTCTCCCAAGGCGCGTTCTGACCAGCATCTCGAGGCGAATCCGGCGGTGGTCCAGGAGGCCCCAAAAGGCGACAACGATGGAAAGGTAGGGGCACGGGAATCTTTTTCCGAATCCTCCTCCTCCTCCTCCTCCTGCTCCTTCCTCCTCCTCCTCCTCCTCCCCCTCTCTCCTAAGCCGCCGTCCCGGTTCGAGAGGTTTTGGGCGCCGTACCAGGTACGGCGAACCTCTCGCGTGGGACAGCTGCCACGCGTGCTTGCCCGCCCGACCAGCAGGGCCAGCCGCGCCAGATTGCAATTGTCACGGCGAGCCACAGGCGTCTTTGAGAGGACCCAGCGTGGCACCGCCGCATCCGCCAAGGAGCGCAGCAGAGCCAGGTTGCTGGTGCAGATAGCTGCAGCGACGGGCTTGCTCAGTCGACACCACAGCAGCCCAATGGCCCAAGGGAGAAATGCTCGTGACGGATGGCAGCAGGAACGTGAGCATAAACGCCAAAGTGCAAGAGAGTGTGGGAATGTCCAGCATGTTCGTTCCATAATGCCTGGTCAGCCACAGCATGCGTGAAGTGCCATCCTCACACATCACGCACACCTTCTAGGGCATCCTCTAGGCCTCGACGCAGGGCTGCATCCTCGCAGCCACCCAAGCAGAAGCCCGACGCCCCAGCCCAGAAGGACACCCTCATTCCCATCATGCCCGCGTCGCCAGAGTACGGCACCGCGCACAAGTGGTGGCGCAACCCACCAGCAGATACACGACAACTAGGAGAGTTTCAAAAGGCTTTGACGGCCACCATGGAGTAGAAAGGCAGATATGCTTCGCAACGGACTTGCAGCTTGGAGATGATCTGATCAATGCCTTAAGAGACGAGTACAGCGTAGTCTTGTACCAGATAATGCACTCCAGATCGCCACAAACAAGAGTGCAGAAGCAACGCCTATTCGTCAGCAAATGTCGCAAGAGGCTTATGGACTCACAGGCCCGCTATAACCTGCTCCAGGAGGAGCTAGACGCGGCCTCTGAGCAATGTCAGGTGTTGCAGGACGAACTATCACAAGCAGAATCGTTATTACAGCATTTCGAGGAGTTGCAAGATGAGCAGCCTGAGAAGACTGCCCACGCGTCCACACCACCAGCCAAGGCAAGTTCGTCGCAGTGGACCACACCATCCCCAGTGGCACCTGCATCACCATGTGTGTGATCAGCTGAACGAGGAGCAGGGCCACAGCGTCAAGCATCTCAGCCTCATGCACCGGTACGACCTGGAGAGGCGGCAGCTGCCTCCACAAGCACCGACGTCAGCATGCCGGCATTGCTCGCCGTCCTGCAGCACTCCAACTCCCAGATGCTCCACACCAAGCAGACGTTCCAGCAGACGGTCTCCACTCTCCAGAATGACATCAGCAACATGAGGTCCGAGCAGCAGTCAGAGAAGAGCAAGATCACCGAGATCGCAGCAGAAGCAGCCAGGACAGTCATCGCCCCGACCCCGATCAAGAAGGATCGCCACTCGGAGATCACGCCTGAAGCGCAGCAAGCAGGATGTGAACGGATGGCAGCAGCGCTGCAAGGACGACGCCCAGCCAGGTCCGCCTCGCCCCGCCGTCACGGCGACAGCGGACAGGCAGGGGCGAAAGTCCAGCGTGCGGACGTTGACGGCGCAGGTCTGCTGGACAGCGGCGCGGAGGCAGTCGCCGCACGTGAAGCAGCAGATGCAGCAGCAGTCAGAACCAGGGCGGAAGCTACAGAGCCCGCCAGTGACACAGAGCCGCATGCAGCCACTCCAGCGAGTGGCGCGTCTGCAGCCAATTGAGGTTTTCGCTACGGGCCGTGTCAGAAGCGTCTCGGCCTGAGACTTAGGATTCTTTTCTCCACAGTCCAGGGTTTTCCACCGCCTTGCCAGTTGTGCATCAGGAAGCCCAAGAAAATAGTGACCAGCACCTCGGGTATTCGATTGCTGGCCAGCATGCTCCCTCTACCCAAGGCACCCCTTACTCTCTGCCAAAGAAACTGGTGGAAAGACCTTGGTCACGTCAACTCTCAACAGACACACTCAGCTTGGCACAATATTGGCACTCGTCGACCATTGCAGCTTTCGGCGACTTGGCGCCCCTGCCAACTGATGTTCCTATAGATCAGGTGCGCATTTACACGGATGCCACAGCAGGAGGCTTCAAGCATGAAGGTGAGCGTTGCATCCCAGCATGGGCAATTTGTGCTTGTTGTGACAGTCATGGG